TGTTTTTGGTCTCCACCAACACCTGAGGGAAATATCTGACTCTGTAGCTGCTAAATGCTCCACTGTGTTCACCAAGCTAGTTGCTAATAGCCAGAAAATGACTGAATAAGACCAAAAGAGTAAATTTTCTGACCAGAAAGCTAAAAGAATGAGCTAAATTATGCAAAAATTCTCTGTAGAGCTGAGGGGAACTGCACGAGAGACACCTCTTTATATACAAATCATCATTTTGTGATCATTACCAGTAGCAGATTGCTTTTGGATGCTTAGTTTGGGGCATTTGTTGTATGTTTTTGCCCCCTTGACCTTGTTTCTGTGACGCTCAGATCTCAGCAACAGAAATAATGACCAAGATTAAGAGACAAATGTTGTAATAAACCAGAATAATCCATTAACATCTCATTTGTGAAATACAATCATTCTTTTCCGTCGTTTGTTGAATCATTCCTCTGTTTTATGTTCACTGTCATTAGAACTTTTGTTTTTTTTATTCATTTTTCCTCTTCATGAAAAGACTCAAACTGCCACCAAACCAACCTCTTCCCTTAAAAGACCATCCATAGTCACCAAGGGCAACAAAACACATGCTTCCTCGCGAAACGGCCACAGCTCCATCCCCATTAAAACCAGCAGCACAGGGCCCAGGCAGCCCGGAGTAAGTACAGGTCTGAGTGCAGCTTAGAGTTCAGGATGTTTCCTGGAGCCTCCTGGTTGAATCTTGTTTGACAGGAGAAAGATACAGCAGGTTGTTTTAAATGCAAACCTGCACTCGTTTTCTTTTGATATTTACCAGAAACACAAAGAAAAGCCTCATTCATTCATCATTGATTACAGCTGGACACTCATTAAAGGACCAGTGTGAAGGATTTAGCTGCATGTAGCGGTTAACAAAGCTAACAAAAATACAACAATTCCAATATTCAGGTGATTATACAGTAAAGAAAACATACCTATGGATATTTCTGTTCCACACTGGACCTTTAAATTCAGATCAGAATGAAGAATTTGTGATTTCTGATTACTTAAATGCAAATAGAATAAAAGCAGCTGCAGCTTTCTGAGATAAAAACAACTTCTCCGCTTGAAAACTAAAATAACTTTTCGGTGTGTTGTTCATTTCTTCAGAGTCTTGGTGCAAAGTCTCAAACTCCTGGAGTCAAAACTTCTGCCAGAACTGCAGCTCAACCAGGTACAGAAGGACGACTCTACCTTTATCTCATTTATCCAATTATTAATCCTTTGAATTTTAATTTTTTTTATAAAGATTATGATTTAAGGATTACTTATGATGTGTTATATTTTTTGTGATACAGCTAGTGCCAAGAAACCTCCTACTCCAAAATATGAAAAAGGTAAAAAGCTAAAAAAGATCTTTAGAGATCACTTATAGCCTGGTGTAGTCACAGAACCGCAGTCTGATCCAGATAAACCTGGATCAAACGTGCTCATATATTAGCCAACAGAGCTCTTAGCTTTTATTTTTATAATTTATTATTATTTCTTTATTATTTATCCTTTTATCCGTGCTCATTGACTTGCTCTAAACTTCTGACCTGTTGCCTCTCCGACTGCTTAAGATGCCCAGAGTGGACAGAGCAGCCCTGGCACTCCCAAATCTCCCTCTAGCCAAGCGCTCTCCGCGAAGGCTGCGGCCGAGGCCAACAAGGTGAAGAAGGTGGCGGTGGTGCGTTCTACACCCAAATCCCCGGGCTCGCTGAAGAGCCGCCCACCGGCTCCTTTGGCCGCGGCGGCGCCCATGCCAGACCTGAAGAACGTCAAGTCCAAGATCGGCTCCACAGAGAACATGAAACACCAGCCCGGAGGCGGAAAGGTACCCTGACTCTGACTCCAGCTGCTGCACGACTCAAACTGTCCTCAGCAGCTTCGGCTGTCTGCACGCGGTTCAGATACTAATATTCATTTAACATGATTTTGGAGATGGAGCTGCTTCGGAGGCAGAAATAATCTTATTGGAGGTTTGAACCTCAGTAGGCAGATCCAGAGGTCTGCTGGCCTCATAGACACACACAGTGTTTGATGTTTAACACACACTTGTTTAAGGAGGAAGAAGGTAAACTTAAAGATGCCCTTTGAGGTCTAAAAAAACATTCTGAGAACCTTCCAAAACCCGATATTTTGAGTATTTCTTCTCATAGACTTTGGAAGCACTTCTTACTGTGTTACCGCCACCAATAGGGTGTGATTGGCAACCAGAATCTGTCTTGCGTCGCCTACTTACTGCGTTCAGAACAACCACAGTCTGATTTGCGGCCACTGAGCAGCTCTACTGGAGCGGTTGAGGTTAAAGCCACGTCCAAACTGCTACGTTTGCACGCTTCCACACTATTCTGCCATTTGTGGGCCCTAAAACATGAATGTTTGGAAAAGCTGCTCGCCCTGTTTCAGTTTCAACTCCAAACTTTTAGTAACAATCACTGGTTCACACCCCTGTCACGTAACCCTTTATTGGAAGAAAATGGCATCAGCAACGCATGCCTTGAGAACCAGTGCCTGAAATGGGCTGGTACTCACTGACACTCAATCTTTGTCCACATGAGTACCCTTTCTTCTGATTGAGTACCGCCACTTCTGGTGAGCATGGCCATACCAACAACTGAGGTCCAAGGGGTAGACAATAGAAGTTGTGAAATAATTGTCTAAAAGTAACTACTTTGACGCCCTAGCTCCTAGCAAGTTCAGTGTTTGGACCTTAGTATTTATAAAACCCTTCATACAGCGATGCTGGTGAGGTATTCCTAAACAACTATGCAACTGCGTCTCTGAATAAACACGTAGATAGCTTATCACTAACTGCTAATATCCTTGTTAAAGAGGATACAAAACACCAAAAGGATCATAGTTTTGTTTTTTTAGGCTACTTTCAGGGAAGAAAGTGCTACTAAAGTCTGACTCTTGCTTGATTTCATTGTCTGTCAGAGCCAATTGTGATATTGATAAGCGGTGCGAACTGCTAGCAGACACCAGATGTGCAACAATATTGAACTGACAACCTTCCAGATACAAACACATTGGGAACACACTCATAATAGAAAACGATGTTGCTCCATAGCGCTCCTAGTGGTCAGAAACTCCACAGGGTACCTTTAATATCATAATAAAATACATTATTAGTTTTTGGTTAAAGTCTTTATCAACCAGAGAAAAGAAGTGAAGTTATCACACAAACTGCCGACTCCCATGTTCAGATTCTGTACTTTTCACATGCAATGAGAGATTATACCGACCGTTTTATTAGTTTTTAAGTATTAAATAAAGTTCAGATAATCTGGATAAAGTTTTGTCGGCTTGTTTACGGACTTTCTGATTTGTCTGTTTGTGTTTCTTGGTTTGTGTTCTCAGATCTCCGCAATGTCTTCGGTGAGTATAACGATATCACAACAGACGTATGAAAGTGTAAAAAAAAAAAAAAAAGAAGCAAAATAAGAATTTAAAGCATCATTTCTGTGAATCTCATCATCTGTGTTCAAACAGGACAGCTTTTAATAAAGCCAACCTAATAATATCTTCGTTCCTCTTTCAGTCTGGATCTGCTTAGTAAAAAACAAAACAAATAGTAAAAACTTTGGCTCCGCCCACTGAGATTTGAATCAGTTTATTTCTGCTTCCAGAGCAGCAAAAACCTCTGAGAAATGTTTGTGGAACTAAAACTGAACTTTGGATGTTTCTGATCTGCAGTTTAATGTGCTTAAAGTCTGTTTGTGCTGTAAGAATGTGTGTGAGTGTGTCAGATGTTTCACTGCTGAGATTTAAGGAGATCTTGAGTTGTGATATTTATGGACCAAAATAGATATTAATATAAAGAGTTCACACTGTGGAAGAGACGTTTAAAAAGGGCAGATCAAATAAATATAGACTAGCATGTAGCTGCAGGACGGGAGGCTGAACGTTCAGGCTCTAGTTATTTGTGACGCTGTCGCCTTCTCGTGGCAAAATTATATTTTCATCCATCCATTCAAACTGTTCTTCAAGGTCTTATTGTCTTATTTTTATTTATTTATTAATGAAACGGTAGCGTCGGTCGGAGGGGTTTGAGTCTCTCTCCAACCTTTTAAAGATCTGGTTGAGATCTACTGACTGCAGAGGTATAATGGGCTTATTACACAAATTACTCAACATGCAACTGTCTATATAAGAACTTCAATGTAAAACCAGATATGTTCATTTAACTTAAACAAACTGTTGAAAGTTATTACATTTTAAGTGAGAATTTTGTTTAATCAAGAATCTTTTTTAACCTAAAAAATGTTGTTTGTGTTACTTAAAGATTTTGATGTAAACAGTTTCAATAATGTTTTGAGTTTTTACAGTGTTGGACATTTAAAACTGTAATATAAAGTAGTATTTTGGTGGAATAAACCTTTAAAACTATAATATAAAATAGTATTTTGGTGAAATTCACTTTTAAAACTATAACATAAAGTAGTATTTTGGTGGAATAAACCTTTAAAACTATAACATAAAGTAGTATTTTGGTGGAATAAACCTTTAAAACTATAATATAAAGTAGTATTTTGTCCTGGTGGCGCTGTCATGAAAAACTAGGCTCCTAAAAAGCGCAGCCTCCTCTTCCTCCTTTACAGCAGGAACATATTATTATATCTCTCACTGACTGCACTGGTTCCCTTTCCCCTCTAACACAAATCAACACAGCTGTTTCTGAACCATCAAACATCTAAAAGCTGACGTTTTCATTCTTCCAGGTTCAAGTCTTTGATCTGAAGGTGGACTATAGTAATGTCCAGTCTAAGTGTGGCTCCAAAGACAATATGAAACATGTACCTGGTGGCGGCAATGTGAGTAACTGAGGGATGAACTCAACACCAGACTCTTGAGTATCTCTGCAGTTATGATCATCAAAAACCAACGTTTGGTAAAAGAAGAAGGAGAAGAAAGTGTTCTGTTATTTATTAATGTTAAATACAACATCTGAAGACACTAATAAGACATATTTACGTTAGTTCACTAAAAGCTCAAAGTGCATTTAACCAGAAGTCCACTTTTTTAATGTATTAAAGTTGGAATCTGTAACTTTATTAATTATTTTATGATTTATGTGGACAATTTACGGAGGTTCTGAGAGGCAAAAGTAGAAAAAATTAATGTGGTGATACATTTTCTAAAATATAAAATATCCTTATTTCCTTTTTATTTTTCCTTTGTTGTTGTTTAATGTTTTATTTACAAATTATTTGTTTTATTATTATAATTATCATTATTATTTTATTTACTAGTTATTTGTTTCATTATTATTATTATAGTTATCATTATTATTTTATTTACTAATTATTTGTTTCATTATTATTATTATTATTATTATTATTATTATTATTATTATTATTATTATAAGTAATTACTGTAAGGGGTCACAATTTAAGAAATAAAAAATAAATTAAAACAAACTTGACATATTTAGAACAAGAAAGTAAAAAATACAAATTAACTTGTAACCTTTTCTCATTTGACTCTCAGGGCTTCCGTACTTTGCACTCTGATATAAAAAAAACACATTTTACACAATATTTGTATTTTTAAGCACAATTATTCATTATAATTAATGAATGTAATTATTATACCACAGTAATGTTACATAAATGTTAACAGCTGGAACAACGATTGTGATAAAGTTACAGACGTCAGCTTTAATGAGTCAGAATATTTCTACTCTTCATCCCTTAAACATCTTATCTTCCTCGTGTTGGGCTGATCTCCTCCTGTAGTCGCTCTCCAGTTAACTCCTGAGGGTTCGTGTTCTTGTCGCACTCTGCAGGTCCAGATCCTGGACAAGAAGCTGGACCTGGCTAACGTCCAGTCTCGCTGTGGTTCTAAAGACAACCTAAAGCACACGCCCGGTGGAGGCAAGGTGAGGAATCTGGACTTTCACTGTGGAATAACTCCGGTTTTATTCAGGCCACAAGTCGAGGAAATGTTTCACACCTGACCCTCCCTAAGCCCCGCCCCTTTTTGGGACCTCGGCCAGAAAACGGCTAATTTAAAAGTTTGTTCCAACTTAAGTGAAGAAAGTGAATGTTTGTTTGCATTTATCGTCACTATGAGCAACATGCATACTTCATATAATATAAATATACTTTATATATTTATCTCCTCCTTTCCTGTACTTGGATATGCTACGTGCTAGGCTAATCTATGTTGAAAAAACAAATACATTTTCATAATCACATTTTAAGTTAGCTGTTAGCAAAACACTAGCTAAATACATCAATCGTTAGAAGTAATTTAAAGTAAAGTTGTAATTTTTTTCTGATTTTCTGAATCATTTTTTCTTCTGTTTTTCGGACTAATTTCGAAGTTTAGAGAACATTTGAAACAATAGACGCATTCATTCCTTTATTGAGAGCTCGATTTAACGGAAACAAACATGAGCGGCTTGTTTAGTTCAATCAAGTTTT